TTATGTATCTCAACGTTAACTAGAGATTTTATAGCATTTTAATTAGAAAGATTAGATACCTTTAAAGTGGGAGTTTTGGAAGGGCCATGTGTGTGAAAAAGTTTCATACAAATGGGAATTTTATTTATTAATTTTTTGATAAAAATTTCGGTATCCTAACAATAAACAAGAATAAAATTTGTAAAATATTTAGAGGTAGGTATACCTATAGGGAAAATAAAAAAGATTAATTTATGCTGGAGAGTAAAGTACTTTTAAATTCAAATAAAGAACAAAATGTAATTTGAATATCTTGATAGGAATTGAAAATTATATTCAAGTTGAGATTCTTGGTTTTCTGCTTAGAAAAATATCAATTACCTTGTAGATTTAAATTCAAAATAATTCGGCATAATTAATTAAATGAGAGAAACCTAAAAATAAATGCACTGACTGATAATTATTGGATAATTATTCTATATTAAATTAAAATTCTATATTCAATTATATGGGTATAGGATTATATTATCACTATATTATCATTCGGCATTTGTTGGATTATTAATTAAATGAGAGAAACCTACAAATAAGTACACTAACTAATTATTATTAGATAATTATTCTATAATAAATTAAAATTCAAGATTTCAATAGGTATAGAATTATATTATCATCATGTGATAATAATTATTACCTCTTAGAAAAGACAACGATGCAGTAGACCTTCAAGAGAACGAGGTGAACGGATATATTTTTTTTTAAATTCTGCAATAAATACAGGTATAATCATTATCAACGTGATTAGGTTTACATTATAAAAACTAGAAATAAAAGTATTCAAGAAAAGTGTACCTTTCTATCTTATTACTTTTACTGCTGACTGGATTATTATATTATTAAGAAGTGAAATGGTAACTATGCAGGAAAGATCAAGATAAGAGAACTGAACTATTAATTCTATATAAATTATATGAAGTTGATAACAATTGTTTATTTTTGTTATTTATAATGTTTTTTTTTTTTCATCTCTTTTACATATATAAAATGTAAGGGGTCTAAATCTCAACAGTTTTCGGGAAAAAAGCGAAAATCGATTCAGCATTTTTCAATAAATCTGGAAAAGACTCAAATATTTTAGCTACGACGATCTCAGCATATTATTGCATATTAATAAATAAAGTCTGACTTATCTGTCAAAAGGAAAGGTTTATTACAGTAAAAACCTTAAAAACAAGATTAAATCTAAACGAAAATTTTTATTACGTCGATCGGATGTATTAAAATTTTCATTTTAACTAGAAATAAGCATTGAAAGATGAGGTATAAATAAAATGTCATCTCTTGAACCTGTACTACGTTCTACAAATTAAATTACTGTACCCCTTTCTTCTGTAGACTATAGTAAATCAAAATTAATTTCTACGATACTTTCACAATATAGGTACGTGTATCTGAAGTAAAATTAAGACCTAGTTATAAACAATACCCAATAGAAAAATTATGATGATGAAAAGGTAGACAACACATTAAACATAATACTTCAAAATGACATGTGATTTAATAATTTCAATTCAATGTAATTATTTTGACATTCACTCTTAATCGGATAAAGAAAACAAAGAAATAATTTCATAATTAGGCGTTGGGTAGAAATAAAATTATTCAAACAAATTATCGTTGCCAAAAGGAATCTTTTAATTATCGAGAGTAAAACTAATTGTGATTATCTTGATATTCCTGCCTATAATAATAAATAAAGAATACTTACTAAAGAAATCAACTTAGGCGTTGGACAGAAATAAAATCAATTTTACTATTTATTATAAACCTGCACTAATTACAAACCAGAACGCAAAATACGAAAGAAAACTTAAAACACAAAATGTAAATAATTTGATTTTCAATGAAACTTAAAGTAGGTACTAAGAGGTATTTACAGAGAGCAAAGTACTTGATAGAAAACGAAATAAGCTCACATAACCATTTTTGAAAAATCGTTTGATCACTATTTTTGCTTTAGAAGGGAAAAATTAATATAATAAATATAGATCTGTAATGTAAATTAAAAAAACAGATTTGGAGAGTGAATTTAACTTCTTTTAGTCCCGTGAGAAATTTTATAGGTTATTTACCCTATATAACATTTTGTTGCTTGAATCGCTTTCTTACCTGGTATATAATATGGATAAAGTTTACCATTTTAAAAAATATAAAAATAAATCGCCTAAAAACTTTAACTTAAACTTTAAAAATGAATATTTACTTATACAACAATTTCTTAAATTAAATCCATTCTATTTTTCTGAGGTTGCTTTTAAGGATAAGTTGGAAAGACAGCAATTTTTAAGCGTTTTTTCGAAAAACTGCCAAAAAAAAAGTAAAACAAACGAACGTATTATAAATTTTTGAAAACATGCTTCAAAATACTTGCATTTGATATCACACAATGGCAATCCCCAACTGACTTTCAAGACAAAGTATGTACGTTTTTAGTTAACGCCTAATTTGGGTCACTGATTACTTTAAATTTCAATTGTATATGTTAAATAGTCCCTGAGAGACAACGAGATGATTCCATAATTGTTTATTTTTGCAAATTTGGGTACTAATGAGACAAATTACTTAAAACATTATTTGTTTTTTATTCAAAATTTTACAATTTTTTCATGTTTCATCCTAAGTATATTTCCCAAATTTAAATTTGATATGTTTTTATTACGAGAGAAACGAGTCGAGACAAAGGCTTTCTCGAGCGAGAGAAGCGCCTTCTCAAGAACAGTTTTCTCTCGCCCTATGAGACGAGACGAGAGAGGCCTCTCTCGTCTCGTCTCGCGGCATCACTAGACTTTTCTGTTTTTTGTTTTATAGGTCAAAAAACAACCGTATTCCGTTAAGAATTAGGTTTATAGTAGTCCACATTTCTTATGTTTACACAGTTTACGTTTCCTGCATTTTTTAGTCCACTACTGCTGTTATTTGCGCAGGCTGGCCTCTCGTTCGATGACTTTTATTTCCAACTGTTTTTCTTCCATGTAGCTTAGCTCGTTCGGACACTTAAGGTACCATTTGGGAACGCAAGACCGAGACAGGAGACAACCGCGAAATTAAATGAAGTACATTTGGGACGGAGCGACCTATGCAACAGACGCGACAGCACTTTTAACACGACAGTGCTTGCTGCCTGTTGCTGTCCCTTGCATCGATCTCCTGAACCCAAATGGTACCTTTACGTGTCAAAAGTATTGTGGCTGTCTCTTGCATCGGTTACTCAGTCCCAAATGTGCTTCATTTAATTACTTGTGATTCTGACGTAAAGAGACGCATTTCGGTCGCCTTACGCGGTCTCTTGCCTCTGCCTCGGTCTCGCGTTCATAAATGGTACCTTTACAAGTGCATGGTGTATGGGTATCGTGCCCGTTATCACTTGAATGGCGTGTAGTGAGGTTGTTTTGTGCACGATAGCAACCCTTAGCGCTATTTTCATTCTAGGTCTTATCCATTATTTTTTTGTAAGTTGCTACGTTCTTTGCCTGTGCCCACACAGGTTCTTCTTATAACAGGAAGGAGTGAGTTACTCCTCTTAGCGCTTCGCTTTTCCTGCTCTGGAGGCCTCCTATATTCTTCATCAGCTTGCGAGCGATCCTATTTTACTCTCTACCTTGCTACTTGCCATCTCAATGAGCTTGCCGAAACTCCCCACATTGTCAAGCATAATTCCTAGATCTTTATGTTTGTTGGTTATAAGCAGGTAGGGTTATTTTTGGCCCAAATCACCACATCCTCTTGGGTATATTATATTCCCCTGCTTTCCCCGTTTTCAGATACTATCTTCGGAATAGTCCTGTGCTTCTGGTTAGTTTAACTGCGTTTCCTACCAAGTGTTCCTGTGACGTTCTTCCCGGTTTTAGGCTAAAAAGGGTGAGACACCGCCTAGCAAAAGCTTCGCATTCGAAGATCACATGATATGAGATTTCTTCCTCTTCCATGCACAGTCGGATCATTGTGGGATCATTGTGTAATCCCATCACATGAAGGTGTTTCAGCAAGCAATATCACGTTAGTAATACCTAGATACTTTAGTTACCTTCGTGGCTTGAGCTATGTTCCTTCCAGTGGAAAATATTACTTCTTTCTGTCTATTTTCTTACATTGTCCTTTCAACACAATTACTTTTTTCAAGAACTACTATCAGTTTATAATGCTTCATTATTGGAGTATACAATTCCTTGTGTCAGTTTAGATTTAATTAAGAGCCGTGCGTAGTTATCACGGACATGACTCGTATATCAGTCTTGCTCGGCCGTGGTCTACTTTAAAAACATTTGTTGTAGATCACTTTACTTTTGTTCGTACTGTCTTGTAGGTGCTTTTATCTCTTTTATAATCTGATATTATTTTGAATCATAATTCCTTTTAAAATGTTAGGGGTGAATTTAACCCCACTTTCTCGTTGAAGGGTACAAAATGTACATTAAATGCCTTCTTCGAAACAAAATAGTAACATTTACGTGTAAACAAGTGATTTTTCAAAACTGGATGTAGGGTAGCTATTTTGTTGTGCCACACAGTATTAGGCAATTATATTTTTAAATTATTTTTTTTTATATCGCTATCAAAGTTCAAGACTATAACATCTCAAAAATTTTAGGATTTGAGATAAGAATGTATTCTTGGCAAGGAGGGTAAGATCTATATAGTTTAACATTATAATATCTCAAGATTTTGTTTCTACATTTTCTTCTACAAAATCTTTTGAGATATTATAGTATTGAAGTATATAGGTCTTGCTCTACTTGCTAAGAATACATTCTTGTCTCAAATTCTAAAACTTTTGAGATGTTACAGTTTTGAGCTGTAACAAAAAACTTTGTAAAAGGCTTGGGAAAAGTTCTTTTCTAATTTTAAAATTTCTCCGTTAAATTATACGTTCAAAATTATTCCAAAACATTCATTTTTTCAATATCCTTTTTTATCAGTAACAAATGAACAAGTGTTTTTGTTTTAATTTAATATTTTTTTAGGTTTATCATCACTGTCTTTCTGGCACAAGATTCGACTTTCTATGTGCCAACTACACGGCTTTCGACCAAAAGACATTCATTTGCCACTTTGCTTCTGAAGTAGACTGTAACAATTCAAAAAGGTTTTGGCACAGGTAAGATACTTAAAAAAATCATTAACTTTTAATATTTATCATCATCATCATCATCATCTTAGTTTTTCCCGAAAACATAATAACTATAAATCAGATTATAATGAATTTTATATAAATACCTACCAAATTTTAAAAATTTCGAAAGGAAATGGGAATTTACAGGGTTTAAGAAAAATGTAGGTTGTAAATTCTACCAGATATTCTGGAGTCGAAAATATGTCGATTAAACAAAATTGCTTACAAAAAAGTTACAGTCTTTTGAATTTACAAATTAAATATACAGGGTGTTTCAGAATAAAGTACCGTAAACTGATTGACTAAACATTGAGGAACCGAACAAACACTTTAAAATGTTCATGGATGATACTCATCTTTTTGTTTCTGATAGTGTAGGCTTATGTATTAAAAGTAATAATATTGTTACTTTATAAAAGGAGACCTCCTTTTCTAAAGTTTTTTTTTTCTTACACCTTTATTTATATTTTTTCTTGTAGTTCTTGGGTTTTCGGTGTTTGTTGACGAAATGAAACTCGTGTTAAAGTAAAGTAAAGCTTTCGGCCTTGCTCAGGGCCTTCTTCAGTAGTTTTTTTAAATTATTTAAAAATATTTGTACATTATTGATAGTTGTTCTTTAGTACATTGTATGGGGTGTGTAATTAATTTTTAAATGTTTTAGATCCTTTTTTTATTATTCTGTAATTGAATTTTTATCATTTTCGTGTCCGGTATTTGATGCTGTGGTATCCGTTATTAATTTCGATAGTCAGGGTGTTGTTACCCCCTTTTTTACGTTTTCGGGCCCTCATAAAGGTCCGGAAATTAAATTAAATAATTTTCAACCTTGTCACTGGATAAATCTCGAACCGCATGGTAGTTGCATAGCAAAGTAAAATCACAAAAAAAACCAAGTAAAATTTTTCAATTTCCGGTCCTTTAAATAATTACTTCTAACTTAGAACCCTATTGATTTTCTGAAATTTCGGTTCATCCTAACTACTTTAATAGCAATTTTCTTAAAATCCGCCTATGCATTCCTTATGTGACAATTTTAGGAATTTCAATTATTTCTAACGTCAAAATTCCTAACATTCTTTACATTCCATAAATTGCAAACATTCTCTAACGACCTGTCAAACAACAGCTGTTGATAGTAAAGGTGAAATGTCTAAAGCGGGTTGCGACCTTCATACTTCCAACCATATAGTCATTTTGGAGGCTATTTTCATTCAAAATTAGTCGCCACGCCTGTCAATTTATGAAAAATATATAAGCAGTTTTTCAAAAATGACTTTTTTATAGTGGTGCTATTAAGCGTACTACTATTTAGCCCCTAGCCACAAAAACACCTTCATCAAATTTACTGGTTCTCTGTCGCAACCCCATAGAATAATTAGCCGGCCATTTTATTTAGCAAAAATCAAAATAATGCTTGGCTGTACCTGTCAAGTATCAAGATGTCAACTGTGATATGTGAAAGGCTCTTAAATGTCAAATTATTTAAAAATGTATACTTCTTTTGATATTTATTGCAAATAATAAATATCTCAATTCAGGCTTTCCATAAATAAAGGTACAGCAAAACAGATAATATAATGTTCTTATACAAAGCACTTTTTTATTATATAAAAGAGAGGTAGGATATAATGCCCATTTCAAATTTGGATCAATTATGATACCGAGTTATTTTGTTGTGTTTTAATTTTAATTATAAAGTTGTCATTTATTTATATGTTGAAAGAAGGCCTTTGTAAATTACATTGTTCTCTATGGATATACTTTAACATAAAAATAGTTTTGTGGCTATAAGTTGCTATAACCTATCGTCGCAAAACTATTAATAATTTAAACAAAGTAAGTAGTATTAATATAACATCAAGTAATTTTTTAAAATAAAGTACATGATCTCAAAACAAATAACCTATAATAAATGCGGATAAAACTACAATAAATTAAGGAAAATACTTAAAAAGGGCAGGATTAAAGAGTATTATCACAAGAAAGTATATTCGTTCTGTTTATTTATCAAGTATTGTTTGAGGTTACTTTTAAATACATTTATTGTTTTTTTTTTTTAGTTTCTGTAGGCAGTCTATTAAATTTTTTAAACCTTTAATAAAAATTGTATTTTGGGTACTTTTAGTGATGGCTTGCCGTAAATGAAAGTCAGATTGGTTTCTTGTATTATAGTTGTGATATTGCGAATTATATTGAATTTTTTTTAATAGATCTGATGCGATGGTATTATGTCTTTTTTATGTTATAAATAAATATCAGTCATATACTGAACATAATTCTGAACTGAAAGCCAATTTATTTCTTTTAACATAGTTGCAATACACATCCTTCTGTCCTTTATTAATAGAATATAAATATGCGAAGTAAGAAGCCCAAATATTTTACATGAGCAGGCTTAAGAGGTAAAGGGGCCAATTATTATTGGATAAATTGCTCGAACAAGTTTTTAAACCCTAATCAAAAGGCGATATAGAATGGTTTTAAAAATCAAGGCTTGTGAAAATCATCACATGGTTTAACCTAAGTAATGCCAATGCTTCACAAACCAAATGATTCAACGTGCTAATATTACTATCGGCTTTCGGTATTTCGTTCCAAGTTAAATCATTTCTCGTTTTTGTTACGCTACGAGTTTACCCTTGTGGGCCTCAGTCTCGATAAGGTGGGAACCACCATTTTAGCGTCTCTCGAATTTTTTAAATAATTGAACACCGTTATTGAAAACTGCTCAGAAATTTTGAGAGTAAATATTTGATGTGCTCCTTTAAGGATAACGGGTAAAAACGTTTTTTTGTAAATTTCCCGCGGGTAATGTCAAAAATCAGATCGGCAACACTGCACATGTCCCTTATTTTTATTATTACTATTGAATAAAAAACGTCGTAGAACAATCGAAAACAACAATTTTCTGAAATATTTGATAGGACGTACCTACAAAAGAATGATGCTAAATCATTTTTTAACCAAACACAATTTTATATGCCGTTTTGGGTAACTGGTTGCATAAATAATTATTAAAGATATTATAGTGTATGAAGATTTATTATTTAAAGATTTTTTATTATGAAGATAAAAATATTATTTAAAGATATTATTTAAGGATAATAGAAAAAGAAAAAGAAAAAATAACTCTAGACTTCTATAAGAATTTTGTTCAGCCAAATATTAATATTTTGAATAGATACACCCATTACCGTACGCAGGAATTTGTCCAGGGGGACAGAGCAACATTATTTGAGTAGGTAATATATCTCCGATTGATTTCACTTAGGACAGATGTGAAATTATTATCAAATATGGACTTCCAACTAATTTTAATATAATTGTTTTTAAGCTCTAAGTATGTGTTGCACTTACAGCTGAAGTCCATAGATTTATAAGAAGAATACTACACAATTCACTAAAATCTGTTTATTTTCCAAAATATTCGATTTTCTATACAAGTAAACTGAGGCCATTTTAAACATTTGCTGAACACATATTTAATATAAAAAAAATACAAATAATCTAAGTATTTTTGATAAAAAATCATTACTCATTTCATGTAGGTATAAATTAAAAAAGTTGCCATAACTCGAAAAACATTGATTTTTCGAAAAAATACAGAGTACCAAAATAGTATTAAAATGAATATGTTAAACCGAGAGAGAAACCACTAAGGTCAAAACGTACCCTTATTTCGAAAATCATCTAAAAATCGCTGAAAAATCACCTTAATTTTCTGAAACTTTCCCTTGAGGAGTGAATTGATTTCGAAGATGATTTTGATCATGATTTTCGATGATGATTTCGACATTTTCGAGAAAATTTGTAATGATTTGGAGTGAAAACGCAACATTATTTCGGAAGTGGTTTACACATCGTGTTAAAATAATGGCGACACAAGAATAACCTATTTTTTCTACAAACGTCAGTAGAAGTATAATTTTTAACGCATGCTGTCAGTGTCTAAAATGCCATTTTATGACACTGGTGTTAAAAGTGAATCACTTTTAGCTTCAAAAAAGCCACAAGCTTGTAATATCTGCTTATGTAATGATCATTTATGTTCATCATCGACTTTAACATAGAGTAATTCGACCAAACCGTTGACGATTTCCATATTTTGGACTTTTCTAAGTATGCAAGAAGAACTTTTTCACTGGCCTCCTTGCCCTGACATTTTTCTGATCACACCATTTCAAGAAACGATCGTATGAAAACTCGTACTGTTGCTTTGACTTACTAGGCAATAATTCAAAAGCAGCTATATTGGCAGCTTCTTCAATTTCCGGAGGTAGAAATTCATTTTCTTGATAACTTTCCATCGAGGAACGAAGAAACGAGAAAGAATAATTCGTGATTTATTGACGTTAGTTGTCATCAAAGACAACTCAACAAATTCGGTTTTTGTTTACCTTGGCAACTTGTTTCATGAATAGATTAGATGAAATTGGATTCAAAACTGATAATCTCGAGGCTATTATTTTATCAATTAATTAATGTAAAATAGGTATGCGTTAATTTGGACTTTTAATGGTGTTTGTAGAAAAAATAGTGTATGATATACGTGCTAAAAGTGATTTTATTTTGTTTGAAGGGATGAAACACTTCGCCTTCGGCGTCGTGTTCCAAACTTCCCTTCTCACAAAATAAAATAGCACTTTTACCACTTATCATAAATATCATAAATAACTATTTTAAGTATAGGCATCTGAAATTAGAATCACAGCGCCACACTAATACATTATTAGAAACGCCTGGCAATTAATTTAAATTTTTTCTATAATTTCAAAAAATATTTTAAGAACACATATTTACATAAACTAATTAGTATAGATTTTAGTGGTTTATTAGATTTTTCTAATTTTTAAAACCATTAACGAACATTTTTGTAGACACCTAAGATTAAACATAATATTATCAAAAGTAAAACTAATTAAGTATTGCAATTAATTGATAATAAAGTACCGGCGTTCAAAATTACAATTATGCTAATTGATGTTCATCAAATATCAGTCAAGTTTAAAAGCCTTAAGCTATTTTAAATTCAGTGGCAAAAAATGGTAATTAAATTTAGATTTTAAAATTCTTTTGAATTTTTCTTAATGGAATGCAAATAGGCGTTTGAAAAACTAGTTAATTATTTAATGACTATATTAAATATTAATTTGGCATTTCTAATTTCATTTTAATAACATAATCATGAAATTTAAAGTGTACGCTGTTCCAATAAATAAAAAATGCAATATTAGTCGATGGCCAAGGATACAAACGTACTCTGTCGCCTATACAGACTGCTTCTTTTTAGTAAATAGCATAGAGTGATACCTCATTTGACAGACCTTATCTACTTCTAGTCATTCCTCGAAAATAAAAATATTTTCTACTGCTTTTTAAACTCTTTTGTGACAGTTTCATAAGTTATAGACCGGCATTTACATAATTTTGAAAATAAATAAATTGATACTTCTTTTTAGACTAAATTATTCTAAATAGATATAGGCCAGAAAATAGATTTACCTGTGAACAATTAGAATAAAGCTACAAATTGGTATGTTGGTCCAATTAAATGTCTTGGCCTTTCAATTGCTCTCAGGCTATCTGGCTTGCATTTTTAAGGGTTTTTCGAAAAAAAAATCCAGTTTTTGAGAACGATGCGCAACCGGCTAGTCTGAAATGTAAAATTCTTGTCCAGTCTTTATTTAGAGTATATTTGTAACGAAAAACCCCGCGAGAGTACTGCTTTAGTACTTATTAATTTATAGTTTAGGTACCCTCTAGAGCAGTGGTTCCCAATTTTTTTCTATGATGCCCTCCTTTTTGAAATAAAGAAATAAATCCGTCTACCAGCGGCCAATCGATTCTACCTTGAATTAGGCGTTCATCACTAATTCTGTCTAATAAATTATTAGGGAAAATCAAACGTTCCAAAACCTTGTCACAGAATGTGTCATCTTCCTGCCTACTTTTATTTATAGGCACAAAAAACGCATTGGATAAAGCACATATTAATTTAAAAATGCCTCCAAATATTTCACATCCGAAAAAATTCGAATATGTTCATCAGAACATTTAAGTGTACCTGCAAAATTTCAGCGCCCTACAACAACTTTTAATAAATTTGACAAACAAAAATATCAAAAATGTTGCTCCTCAAATTTTATGTCAATAAGATATTTAGAATTTGCTTGTTTTTACAGGAATGATGCACTTTATCAAGCTGCATCAACTACTACAAGTAAGCCATTGGTTATTCACACAACTCCTCCTCCACCACTCCAACCAGCAGGCGGTGCACCTGCTGTGGCACCTCCTGTTCCTGGATTAGGTCAAAGGAGAGTAGTAGGAAGACCTTATCGAAGAAGGAGACCTTACTACGAATACTATGATGATTATTACGATGATTTTTACTACGATGACAGACCTAGATCCAGAGGAAGAAAGAGACCAAGACCCCGACCAAGGCCTTTATATGACGACGATTATGAAGATGATTACGAGGACGAAAGGTATGAAAGGAGGGGTGGAGGAGGACGTAGGAACGAGAATAGAAGACCGTCTAATAGAAGACCTAACAGGGGAAGGAACAAAGATAGGCCGCGGTATGATTATGACGATGATGACGAAGAAGTCGATAAGTATGAAGAAGATTCAAGTAAGTACTCATATAATATAAATGCAGTTACAGTTTATTAATTTCTTCGAATAAATACAAAACTGTAGAATATAAATTATACTACTGATTTAATTTTTTAGAATATTTTAAAAGTAAACGCACTGTAGTGGAATAATGAAAATGGACTAATTTGTTTTTTGCCTGATATTTTTGATTTCAAAATTGGATTTTAAAAATACTTTTTTTTTCATTTAATTAACTTTGTGTTAAGTGTAATTAACCCTGCGCTAGTCGCGCCTGATGCTCTGACAGCACTGGTCGCGTAGAGTCTACTAGCCAAAAACTTCTCGAATTGGCGCTAGTTTATCTGTTCTATTTCTCTCTTCTCTGGATCTCTGGTAGTACGATTGTCAAAACGTAAATGCCTCAAGAGAAATAGAAATCGTTGCTTGCTCATTGTGAGCCAGAACATTTCTACTTCGGTTCCTTTTCTGTCCCATATCTCGTCAACGCTCAACTTAGAGCTTTTCAGTAACCCTGTTATGTTATGTTATGTTGGGAATGGGGTGTTAATACACTGCGACCTAAAAGATCTATTGTGCCCCTTTCTGTCGCTATTGCACTAAGGAAATGTATCAATGCCTATAACGACCCTTCCAATCCTATTTCCTCAAGGAAATGTAGGATTTGAAGTGGCTTCAAGTTAGGTAAATCTCCCTCTTCTATTTGATATCCTCCTAGATATAGTGCCCTTGGATTCTGGAGTCCTACACATTCAATTAGGATGTGAATGGAGGTTTCGTCCTCCTCATCACAGAATCTGCACTCACTATCCTCTACTACTCTCAGTTTACTTAGGTGTCCTTTTAGTCGGCAATGCCCGGTAAGGATCCCTGTTACAATACGTAGCCTGTTCTTGCTCAGGCAGATGCAAGCTTCCGATCTTTTCTGGTTATATTCACCCAGAAGTATCTTGGCCTGTCAGCCCCAAAAGATTGTTTCAATTATCGGTTCTTCTACTGCCCAATTCTTTTTTAATCTCTCCTAATATTATGTTACTGCTGATACCGCAGAACGGCTCAGGTCCTACAAAGGGTGTTTGAGCCCTTTTCCTTGCAAGACTGTATGCAATCTCGTTACCCAGTACCCTGTTATGTCCCGGGACCCAAGTGAGAGTAACTCTATTTTTCTCGCCTAGCTCATTTAATTGTTCTAGGCATCTCCAGACCATTTTTGAGCTGATTACGTAAGATCTCAGCGCTTTGATGATGTCTATCGGACATGATGATAATCTCTTGTCTATGATAGTTTCTCTCGATGTTAAACTCGATACACTTCTTGATGGCGTGAATTTCCGCCTCGAAGATGCTTGTGTATTTTCCCAAGCTTTCGGAGTGCTTGGTTCTCGGCCCATACACTCCTATTCCAGTTCCTTCCATGGTTTTCGAACCGTCCGTATACCACTGAATAGCATGTCTTTCGGTTACAAGCGCGATGGATTCTTGGCTCCAGTTTTTCTTGCAGCCCAGCTCTGTGGTTTTAAAGTTTTTCACAAAACTGTACTTTAGCATTTCATCTTGGAGCATGTCCCAGGTATCTTAAGTCCTGAAGCAAGTAGACTTTCGTCTGATTGCTCCGTTCCTGATCATTCTATATCGTTTCCTTTTTGCCATATTCTCTATCATCAAATGTAGAGGGGCGAGGTTTAAGATCACCTCCATTGCGGCCGTAGGACAGGTTCTCATTGGACCAGTGATGCAAACACAGGCCAGTCTTTGCACTTTTGAGATATTAGCTCTCGTAGTAGCTAAACTAGTTCTGTTACTCCATGCTATAGGTCCGTAAGTGATGATTGGTCTCATTATTGCAGTATATATCCATCGCAGTATGTTTGGGTTACATCCCCATCGTTTACCTGCAATGTTTCTGCATAGCATTAGGGCTTTTGTGGCCTTATTTACTACTTCCTTTTCATGTGTATTACAGAGAAATTTGTTATCCAGGGTTAGGCCTAGATATTTGACTTCATTTTTCCATTCTATATCTATCCCGTCTAATTTAACGGTTTTGAGATTAAGTTTTCTTTTCCTTGACAAATATAATAAACCAATAAGGGCTTTTATTTCAATTTTATCTGTTTCCTTGCAGTCCCTGTCTCTTTTGTAATTCTGAGTTTTTGTTGTTATGAAGAAATTTGTATGTTCTATAATGATATCGAGTATTTCATCGTTAATAGCACTCGAAAGGACTTTTTGCTTATTTAGCAATATCTCTTGTACCAGGAAGTTCACTTATTATATTCCAGGATCGAGTTCTCACTGCCTCATTTGAAGCATGCTTGTTCCATTTTGTGGTATTGTTTTTGCCCAAAGAAAACGAAGCTCTAGGAATTTTTACTGTTGTTTTAACGGGACTTCTGTCATCGTCGATGGAGTCATCTTCTTGAACGTTATCACTGCCTTCAGATCTATATCCCACAACATCCTCATCTTGATCTGAATCTTCATCAATTGGCGCCTCATCAGAGTCAACTTCTTCCCAGAGATGCATCAATCTTTGCTGCTTTTCATAGTCCATTTGCAACTAGAAATGAATAATTATAATGATGTGTAACAGCAGAAAATAGGCCTACTTACCAGTAATCAGGTGACAAAACTAAAACACAAGTAGACGCGTGGAGTCTAAGAGACTCTAGATGACGTTTGATAAGTCACAATCACTTGGCACATCTAAATACCTAACAAATCGATAAGCTACATAGATGCGCTTAGTGGTGAGGGAACAAATGCGAGAATATCCGAGGAAGTTCGAAGCGCGGAGTCTGTCAGACCTACCGCGACTACTTCAGGGTTAAGATCGAAACTATTTCACTTGAATGCCCGATCTTGCAGTTATATTTAACAGTAAAAAAAATAAATAAATTGTAACTTTTTATACTATTACCTTAAAAATTTGGAAAACTTTAAAGAAAAGCAATTTAGACAATATTTAAAATATAAAACTGATGCAACATTCTACTTTTTGCTAATTTGTCCAATTAAAAAATATATTTTTTTAATTTTTACAGTTTTTAAATCACAGTAAGTAGGTAATATTTATTTTTAATTACAGGTCGAAGAAAGCCCTTAGATTCTAACAAAAAATCACATTCTAAAACAAGACCAACAGATAACATAAGCAAAGAAAAGAAGGAACAGAAAGAACCAAAACCATCGCCTAAAACAGAAACAAAAACAATTATAAAACCAGTCAGCGGAACTATCTACGATCGACCTAGAGTAGCTCCAAAAATTAAACCACCCGTCCCGAAAAATGAAGCAAATAAGTACGCTTACAAACCGATATCTACAACAGCAACAACTTATAAGAGTCCAGAATATGAAGATTCGTACGAAGAAGTTACACCAAAGAAAAACGAAAGTACAAGTAGGAAGAAACAGACTATTCAAGCAAACAAATCTACAGAAAGTAGCGAATCCCTTTCTTATAAAAATAAAAAGAAACCTACTGAGGATTATTACTACGATTACGACGATGACGAAGAATTTTATTCCAATAGTAAAGACACCATGAAAGAAAAAGATATTCGTAAGATGTCGACCACTAGTACTTCCACTACAAGTACTACGACCACCACAACCACTACTACTTCAACTACTCCCCATCCAATCGAAATTACCGAACCCTTACCTCAATTAGACCAACCTGTAATAATCAGGTTGGTTAAGAGGCCATTTTTACCGAGCAGAGGTGGTAATCCTTACTCGTCAAGAGGACTACAACCTGTAGGAACTCGCGCTTTAATGCATGTTCCAGAAATTAGTACAGAACCGAAATTCGAAACTGACTTTAGACCCGTAGGTCCAGTATTGGAGAGTAGAAACCGTGATAATAGAGAAGATTATTCAATGGATTCAACGAAAAAGTATGTACAGAAGGATTATGAAGAGAGGAGAGTGCCACAAGCTCCTAAACCGCAGTACAAAAATCCCCTTGATAATGTTGAAGATTACGATGTTACTCTTAACGATGCATTGAATCCTACATTACCAAACCTCCCTGTTCGAGGTTATCCTACTGGTTTTGATGTTCAAAGCGAGTTCGCTTACAATAACAATTATCAAAGGAATAGATTCCCTTCTGACCAGACTGTAGCACCAACAAATTCTGATTATGTATTAAAAAGTAAGCCGCAAAGATACGAGAATCCACAAAGTAGTCGAGGAAGCATTAGAGAGCAGCCTGTACAATCTAATGCTAATTATCGAGGAGGGTATTACAGTGTGATAGAAGATAATTACAGGCCTAGACAAATTCAAAATACTCAACTTTATTATACGAGATATTGATTTATGCTCAAGAGCCATATGAAATTACGTCTAATTTAAATTTAGTTAGATTATATTTTTAAGAATAGAAATTCCGGTGTACCTAATTTAATAAACGTAAGACATACTGGTGTGTTTTAATATTGGTACAATTTTTGTGAGCAACAGGTCTTTTGATGTTGCATTTAACAAATTTGTAAGCCTTATGTGGTTATTCCTTATAAATTACCCACCCTTTATCATATTTATTGTTGCGTAATATAAAAAAAAATGTTTTAACTAAAAGTTGTGTGGCTATGATTGAATATTGCTAAAATTAAAAACACAGTGGAGTGCAGATTTCACGGAAAACGATAATAAATTATATGTTTTTAAATAGGATATTATTAAATTTTTGGAAAGCTTTTTTTTCTGATTTTAATAATTTTCCATATAGTTATGTTGCCCTTATTTTATACAGTTTTTGATAAATCAAGCGTTAATATTTTTTATAATTTTAACTTTTCATATTAACAGTAACTTGCTTAACTAAGATATTCGGCATTAATATTTACTCGAAAACAAAATAAGATACGGGTAACATAAACTAGGAAGAAGAGATCACTGCAAAAATGTAATAATATATTCATTAAAAAATATAATTTTTTGCATCTTGTCAAATTTGTACGGCACTGCAATTTTGAAGGCAATTTAACAATATATTTTTTGTTTAAACATTTTCTTGCATTTGTAATAATGATACTGAATGATGAATAACCCTATACAATTTTAAACTGGTTTAATACTGAGGCCCTTCCTATGGGGCCTCAGTATTGCATTCGTGCAGACGAAAAAAATTTCTTACCAACATTTTTTAAAACTTTTTTTTACGTTTTTAATCATTCTGAGTCCGAAAATGCAAAAAAATTCATCTGGAACGGAAGTTCTGATTGACTTGCGGTTTTGATATTCTTGAATAATTACTTCTAACTTTGAACCCTATTGATTATCAGAATTTTCTTAAAATTTCTTATGTGACTAATTTGAGGAATTCCAATCATTTCTAACGTCTAACATTTCTAACATTCTTAACATTCCATACATTGCAAATATTCTCCAACGACCTGTCAAACAACAGCTGTTGATTCTTAAGGTGAGATTTCTAAGGCGGGTTGTCACCTTCATACTTGCAACTATAGCCATTTTGGAGGGTATTTGTATTCGAAATTAGTCGCCAAGCCTGTAAATTTATGAAAAATATATAAGCAGTATCTGAAAAATTACTTTTTTATGGTGATGCTAACTTAAGCTTACTATTTCGCCCCTAACCACAAAAAGACCTTCATCAAATTTATTGGCTCTCTGTCGCAACCCCATAGAATAATTAACCAGCCATTTTATTTGGCAAAAATCAGAATAATACTTGGCTGTGCCTGTCAAGTATCAAGATGTCAACTGTAATGTGTGAATGGCTCTTAAATGTCAAATTATTTAAAAATGTTGTTCTATTAGTTTGGTTCTTGTTCTATTAGTTTTGTTCTTGTTCTATATGTTCCTGATTCATCCAATTTCAGTTCTACTCATTTTTTATCATTACTGTATAAAGTGGGCCACTTAAACATTTCACCCTCCTTATTTTCTTTAGTAAATTGATCTATCGATTTTCTTAACATTCTTTATTAGCAAGGCTCTAAGCAAACTTTTGATGTGTTTACAATAGTATGAATAGGTTAATTCCAGTATCTTTTAAGAATAACATATACATATAAAGTAAATGTATTATATATAGAAATGTTTTTTTGTTTGAAATCTTCTCTCTTTAAGATGGTTGGTTGCCCCACATCACTTTTAGGTAGCACTAGGCTCATTGCGCCTTTTCCAGGGACATATAGGAGCCAAAGGCGTCTCCAGGACTAATTTTCAGAAGAAGCCATTGCCAATAACAATTCCTTTTTAAGCATTTTTTTATAAACGGCTTGTAGTGTATATAAATTTTAATTTTGGGTAGCATGCCTTCTCCCTGGAGTCGCCCTTGATAAGCGAGCTGCTTCTCAGCTCGTCAAAGATCCTGCTGGTTGACAACAACGCCGAGAAGTATCTAGGGTCCGCCTCTCAGCTTGTCAATGTCATCGAGAGATGTTTCTATTACTTTTATTTAATCTCCTTTTAAGACAGACAGTTGCACAATTTCATTTGACCGGAAGTGGCCATTTGGTGGGCTTTCGTTTAAAGGCTTAGGACATGTACTTTCAATTATTCAATGACTCTGGTTTTTTTGGAAAAAATACAGAATCGCCATTTTTTTTAATGGAACTTTTAATTTCTCGGACACCCTTGGATAAGCCTCGTGTATCGAAACTTTTCTGTCAACTGTCAAAATGGTCGCCACATTAGAAAATATTATTTCTAAACATGTTACCATTAACTTGTTTGTAAGAAAAATATAAATGTTACCTTCTCAAAGTTTTGTAAGCTTTAGAGTCCCCCCATTGAAACGACCAGTGGCGTGCCGAAGAGGCCAATCATAAATTGGACAGGTGACCGCTAGATGTATTGTGTTACATGAGACTTTCGTTTAAAAATCTAAAACGTGGAGTAAATGGGTACACTACAGTCTGTTCGCTATACTTACGCGGGTTTTGGATTAAAAATTTTCCAGGTAAGTACCCGAAAGTTTGACCTGTTCTATGGGGAAATATCAACTGGTTAAATGAAATGAAAAATAATGTACAATTTTTTTAATTAAATAATAATGGAGGATCTTTTGTATAATTGAGAGCAGAATTAAACTTCTTCATTAATGGAGTCTAATGTGGCTATTATAAACCTAATAATAATTTTATATTACACTTCACACAGATAATATGGTCTATGTATAATAAGAGGGTTATTTAGCTCAAATAAAATATTTTCTAACATAAAAATTTGTTCCATGTAGAGAATTTCAAATGAAAAATAAAAAAATTGAACTAGCCAACAAAAATGAAAATCAATCATTATCATCCAAAATATCATAATCGTCATCATCATCACTGTCATCACCATTAATTGTTATTATGATTGGACTTATTTCGTTTATTTTATTTTCACGAGTCCACCAATCTTCTATTAGTTTCTGGCATTTGGATATACAGTTCCGCCACACTTCTGGAGTTGCAATTGAAAGTTCTTTTCGCCAAGTTTCCCGAACTGCGTCGTCACTATAACCATTAGGCCCAATATGGTTGTCATAATATTGTTTTGCTATTCCCCATATACATTCGATGGGATTAAACTGTCAATGATACGGTGGCAGACGTAAAACTTGATGACCGTGACTTTCAATAATCTGATCCACAACAAAGGTTTTTGGTTTTGCGTGTATATTTGCCAAGCGTAATAATTCTGATTTTAATATATATTGAGGAAATGGTATGTGTTCCTTTGTCAACCATTCTTTAATTTTATCAACAGTCCAAGAATTCGTTGGACTTTTGTTTAATACTTCAGAATGGTAAGGTGCATTGTCTAAAATAATTACGCTAGGCTCACTTAAATCTGGGAGAAGTTTTTCATGCAACCATTTTACAAACATTTCTGTGTTCATATTATCGTGATAGTCAATGGATTTTGATTTAGATGAAAATATTAAATCAGCACCTTCTATAAAACCCGATTTCCCTCCTGCATGTAAAATTATGTGTCGCTTCCCTTCTCTATCGGTATGTTTGATGGACTTTACGTTATCATCTTGCCATATTCTCTTAGTTGCACCCCTAGAAAATATCCATGTTTCGTCTAAATATATAAAATTCGCCTCTTCTTCTTCTTTAAATTTAGAATATTTTCTTAGAAAGTTAATTCTCTTGTGCGCGACAGAACTTCTTTCACAAAGGGCCTTTCTGTTATCCTCCTTTTGAAATTTGAAACCCAAGTTATGTATCACTTGCCATAGACTTGTTCTGCCAATGTCGTCAAATTTTCTGTCTATTAATTCCGAGAGAATTGTATTTAAGGTCACATGTTCCTTGTTGGCCCTCATTCGATAAATGGTATCACGAATTTCAAATTTCTTTCCATCTGGAATATCTTTCGTTTTCAATAATGGGCCAGTTTTGCGGTGATCTTCTTTCGGCAGTTCACTATTGTGATTTTGTAATACTCCTCTTAATTTGGTTTCACTAATTCCTAGAGCATCGCATACGCGTTGTTCTACAGACATTACCGATTTTAAAGGACCGCCATTTTCTTTTTCATCCGTAAAATACTTATGTACACTACAAATTAGACTATCTACATCTAACACACGTCTAGGCTTTTTAAAATTTCCACTAAATTTACAATATACATACAATGTCAACACTTGCAAAGAATCAATTCAACTGCAATATTTGTAACAAATTTAGTACCTACCCTAAAGTTATTTTAATTTAAATCTGACCATTAGGGCAATTTTACCTAATTTATTGGGAAGAGGCTTATTGGAACTGGTTGTCAATGAGTAATTTGCATAATTTTGTTAATCCGAAACCCGCGTAAGTATAGCGAACAGACTGTACAGTAGGATTTCCAAATGTGGAACAATATGCCTCAAATGCTGCAGTGTCGCCAAGTTGGAGTCCTAGAGGTCATAGAGACAGAATAGGATATTAACAGAGGGTCCGACGAATGATAAAATACACCAGTGGTGTGTCTATACATTTGTGCATTTTTAATTTTTTTTTGGTTAACTTTATATTTTTATAACTTCTGCTCCCAGTTTATTAGTATAGTAAATAGTACAATTTGAGGTGATTATGTTAAATTAAAACAAAAATTTTATGAAAATACAAATATTTTTTATATATGGGTTTAAAAAAAAGTCATTTTTTATTATATTTTAATGATTAAACGAATGAAAAAGTATTTATGAAAAAAACAAAGTTTGGTCAATATTACAAAATATATTTGGAAATGGTTTTGTGATTAATATTTCTTTAAAAATTCCTTGTTTCTAAACTGTCAAAATTTTCGTTTGTAAATAATGTAAACAAATGTACTTAAAATGTAAATACCTACTTATTGGTAGGTACTCATGTAAAAGTAGTATGAAAAAAATACACCTAATGAAACAAATGAAAGATAACGTATGTATGTTTATGTT